AAGCGATGAATTTCCCTCTTAAAACTGCTTTCATTGTGTCCCATAGATTCCGATATGTTGTGTCTGTATTTTCATTTATCTCTAAGAATTTTTTGATTTCTTCCTTTATGTCTTCTGTAACCCATTGATCATTCAGTAACATATTGTTCATTTTCCATGTGATGTAGGATTTTTCCTTCCATCTTTTATCATTGATTTCCAGTTTCATTCCATTATGATCAGATAAAATGCATGGTATTATCTCCACCCCGGTATATTTACTGAGGGTTGCCCTATGGCATAATATATGGTCTATTTTTGAGGAGGATCCATGTGCTGCTGAGAAAAAAGTATATCCACTTGATGATGGTTGATATATTCTATATATGTCAGTTAAGTCTAGGTTGTTGATTGTGATATTGAGTTCTATAGTTTCTTTATTCAGCTTTTGTTTGGAGGATCTGTCCAATTGTGAGAGAGGTGTGTTGAAGTCACCCATAATTATTGTGTTGTGGTCTATTTGATTCTTGAACTTGAGGAGAATTTGTTTTATGAACGTCGCAGCACCATTATTTGGTGCATAAATATTGATAATTGTTATGTCTTGTTGGTGAATGGTTCCTTTTAACAGTATATAATGTCCTTCCTTATCCCTTTTGATTAATTTAGTCTTGAAGTCAATTTTATTCGATATGAGGATGGCCACCCCTGCTTGCTTACGAGGACCGTGTGCATGGTATATTTTTTCCCAACCTTTCACCTTCAGCCTGTGTATGTCTTTTCCAATCAGATGTGTCTCCTGGAGGCAGCATATTGTTGGATTTGTTTTTTTAATCCATGTTACCAGCCTATGTCGCTTTATTGGGGAGTTTAAGCCATTAATGTTTAGAGTTACTATTGATATATGGTTTGTACTTCCAGCCATGTTTGATTATTTATCTTCTTTTTTTTTTAATTTGGTGTGTTTCTCCATGGTTAGCTTTCCCCCTGCCCTCTGTCTTTATAGAGGCACTTCCCACTGATGGTTTTGGTTATTGTTTTTCATTTCTTCCTCGTGTAGTGTTTTGCTCAAGATGCTTTGCAATGCTGGTTTTCTGGCTGCAAATTCTTTTAGCTTTTGTTTATCATGAAAGATTCTTATTTCATTATCGTACCTGAAGCTTAATTTTGCTGGATACAGAATTCTTCATTGGCATCCATTGTCTTTCAGTGTTTGAAATACTTTGTTCCAGGATCTTCTCGCTTTCAGCGTCTGTGATGAAAAATCCGTTGTTAACCTTATTGGTTTACCCCTGAATGTAATCTGCCTCCTTTCTCTTGTAGCTTTTAGTATTTTCTCTTTGTTCTGTATATTGGATATCTTCATAACAATGTGTCTTGGCGTTGGTCTACTGTGATTTTGTGTGCTCGGTGTCCTGTATGCATCTACAATTTGTATATCCGTTTCCTTTTTTTATTTCTGGAAAGTTTTCTGTAATTATTTCTTTCAGCAGGTTACTCATTCCCTTGGTTTGAATCTCTGTACCTTCTTCTATCCCGATGACTCATAGGTTTGGTTTCTTTATGTTATCCCATATCTCTTGGATGTTTTTCTCGTGGTTTTTAACCAGCCTTTCTGAGTTGGCTAGGCTCTTTTCAAGATGATATATTTTGTCTTCATTATCTGATGTTCTGGCTTCTACTTGCTCCACTCTGTTAGTGATACTCTCAACTGAGTTTTTAATTTGGTTTATCGTTTCCTTCATTTCTAGAATTATTGTTTGGTTTTTTTTTTTATAATCTCAATCTCCTGATAAAGATGCTTAACTTCTTCTTTTATCTGTCTATGTAATTCATTTTCAAAGTGTTCTTTCATTGTTTGGATTTGCTGTCTCCTATCTTCTTTAAGGTTCCATTCCATCTGTCTAAGGTATTCCTTGAGTTCTTTATATGACCATTTTTCTGCTGACTCTAGGTCCTCCTGAATATTTAGACTGTCCTTCATTGTTTGTACTCCTTTTCTTCCTTGCTTTTTTATGCTGCTCATGTTACTTCTTGTTCTGTTTGACTGCTTAGTTACTGTTTACTCTTATAGATTTATTTGATGCTTGAGAGGAAAGATATTAGAAGGGAAGGGAAGAAGTCACTAAAGAGAATGAGAGTAGGCAGGTAGAATTCAAGGAAGGGGGAATAAGAAAATTGAAAAGAAATGAAAAGACAAAAGAAACACGAATAACAAAGATTAGATAATAAAGAAAGAAAGAAAAGACAAAAAAAAATTTTAACAAAAATAATAGTGATAATAAAAAATGAAAATTAAAATTTAAAAAAATAATAATAATAATAAAATAAAAAAATTAAAAAAAATAGAAACATTGAAAAAAAATTAAAGAACAACAACAAATAAAAATTGAAAATGAAAGAAAAAGAAGAAAAGAAAAGAAAAAGATAATAATAATAATAATAAATGCAGTCCTAGAGTTCTATTAACTTCTCTTCCAGTAGGTGGAACTGTGCCCACTGGGCCAAGCTTCTCCTCTCAATAGGTGGGAACCATTCACTGTGCAGCAGCTCTTTCTCCTAGACTGGGCGGGTCTCCAATCCTGAGTGTCTAGGGCCTTGTCTTGTGTTTCCTAAAGCCAGGCCGTGCTCACCTGTGGCGCTCACCACAATACTGGCTACACACCAGGTCTGCTGCTCCTGGGAGCCCTGTTTTCATGAACACCTGGGCTCACTCTCCCTGTTTGCCTCCCTCAGACCCTAAGTTTGTAGAGCTTGGGGCTGAGATCCCCCAGCGAATTTGCTTGCCCTCCTGTAGCCACGCCCCCGGTAGCTGGTGCAAGAGACCTCAGTTGTCAGCACTGGTGGGAGCGGTAGCCGGGAGTTCTGCGCCGCGAGTCCCGCGTCACTCCTGATTCCCTCGGTCTGGTTATTGCGTTCACAGGAGAGCTGGGAGTGGCCCTTAAGTTTTCCCTGCTGTGTGGAGAGAGATGACTAGGGGATTACACACCTGTCGTGCTGGTTTCAATGCAGTTATCTCCTCCGCCCGTGACGCCATTTCTCTGCCATGGTGATATCCCATGCAAATGGTGACCGTTTGTTCCCTTTGCCGGGTGACCAATGCAACGGGTGGGTCCTGACTGTCTCTCCCAATCCCCGTTTCAGTCCTGTGGCCACTGCCTATGAAGGCTCGGTTGGCTTTTACCTCTGTAAGTTCCTAAGGGCCGGCCAATTATTTCAGCGGGATCGTTAGTGCTGAGTCACACGAAGCAGGCGAACCGGAGCTTAATTGCCTCCGATTCGGGCTCTGTATGTGTGTTCTGAGGGGCCCAGCCTGTACACCCCAGATCCACGTCAGCTCAGCATTGCCTAGTGATCCTGAGCAAACAGCATTTAGGCAGTTTACGGCTCCCTATGCCCGCGCAGTTGAAGATGTCAGAGACTTGATCTCTCTGCGCCTGCCACCATGTTACATCTCCTCAGTGATATTCATGTTGCCCTTACAGCTTCCTGGTATAAGCAAGTTCTTGGGATTATACAAACTGCTGCTTTTGTTTCCAGTCCAGATTTCTAGAAATGAAACCCTGCCGCCTTCGCCTCCGTATCTGGGCCACGCTGACGAGCGCCGCGCTTGTCTGTGACCGTAGCAGAGCCGCCCTGGCCTCCGCAGCTCTTCAGCCCGGTGCCCGGCCCCAGGGGCCCAAGCGGCTGCCGCTGCGGCTCTCCGTCCCCCTCCTCCGGAGCATGGGTCCCCTGGCAGGGGGGGGCAGAACGACCCCAGAGCAGGCTCTGCCCGAAGGTGCAGCGGCGAACAGGCCACCGAGACGCTCGAGGCTGCAGTCCAGCCTTCGGAGGACAGGGCTCGGCACGCAGCCCAGCTCCAACCTCTAGGTGCGGCTGCCGGACAGTGTATACAGAGCCATCAAGACAGCAAGCAGAAAGCAAATGGCGGCTTCCGCGGAGTGGATTTTCGGCACAGAAACCACAGCCCCGCCAACAATCCCAATCCACAAACTCTCCCTGTATAAAAAATATTCAAAGAAAAGAAAAGGAAAAAAAAAGGCGGGGCGCACTGAGCTTTCTTTGCCTCGGGTACTTACAATCCACTGCTGATTACACATTCAGCTTCTTCGCCCGGAGCGAAGCGAAAGAGGAAGCAGCTAAATGGATCTTAAAGGTAAAGAAGGTGTCCACAGGCAGAGAGAACACTGGCTTTGATTATGACAAAGGCCTCGGAGATCTCTGCCTGCCTAGTGTCACTCCTGCATCTGACGACAGCTCTCCACCTTTCCTTTGGAGAGCCCTCTTCTCCTATCCATAGTCCATATAATTTGGGTAAAGCTGCCTTCCTTTGTTCACTCCAGGAATGGATACATACCCTTGTCCTGCACAATCAGACCACTCCCCCAAAGATAAACTTAAAATAACGCTTTTTACTCTAAACTTTTTAAATTTGGATTCATCAGGACTTAGTGCTGAGGAAAGGCATATGTATCCAAAAAATGTACATAAGCCTAAGGTACTTTGGAAAGATATTCTAACAGGACAATGGAAAGGTCCTGACCCAGTGATTGTCTGGAGTCGGGGTTCTGTTTGTGTTTTTCCACAGGGAGAACAGCAGCCGATTTGGATTCCAGAGAGACTAACTAAAGCAATTTCTACAGACCAAAAAGAAGATGATTTGACTCAAATCCATAACAGCTGATATCCAGAGCTCCAGCTTGGCTATTCTTACATCTTCGACAGTGATTAACCAGCATGCTTTTTTCAATATCTATTTTATTATTGCCTTTTCCCACATCCTAAAGTTCTATTTTATTTTTTGAGCTCATACAAACCTAGGTTAATGTTTTTCTGATCAGTTTTATTTTTTGACTGTGGAGTTTTTAAACATTGCAATGGAGATTTCACCTAGGTAAAGCTACAAGGCATTTACTATTGTCTTATGTGTTGTATGTCATGTGTGCACACTTCTGTTTTGTGTTGTATGTCTATATGTGCGTATGTCCATAGATCTTATATGAGGAGCGCTCATGAAAAAATGGATCCGAATTTTTTTTATTCATGTGATTTTGTGCCCAGCCAGACTGCGGCAGTCCCCGAATTCATTCCCTATTGCCAAAACAAGAGAGAGATGACAGAAAGAGAGAGACTGGTCATATGTGAAGCCCTTCAGCACAGATGATGGAACACAAGGAGTGGATAAATGGGACTGTATTTATCCTGAGCAAGGGAGAATTTATTCAGCACAAATTGTGTCCTGGGAGGCAAAACTGCAGAAGGACCTACTGCCAAGTTTCCTCGTTTGTCCCCCGTTACTATATATTCACCTATAAAGGGGCTTGATTACCTTCAAGGTTGGTTCTGACTTTTGAAATTCTATGAATAGGGGAAAGGAGTACACCTGAGAGCCTGGGAAAAGCTACAGCATGATGGAAGGAAGTAGGACTACACAAAGGACCTTCCCATGTTGATGCAGACAAGGACAGGGAAGATGCTGGTCCACAGCAGGTCTCTCAGACACAGGAAAATGTGGAGGCCATCGCGGTCATTCCCTACAGGGTAGAAACAATGACCCTGGATCCTTTGGCCCTTTTCCCTCAGCCCATTCAGTGGGGCAGGAAGCAGATCTGGTATGTTGGGGGCACTCTGCCCACACCACTCTCCCGGGGAGTGAGGTCGATGTCCTGGGGAGCCACGGGGCTGGCCACAGAGAAGTTCTGGAGGATGGTGGTGAAGAAGAGGAACAGTTCGTTGCGAGCGATGCCTTCACCAAGACAGATGCGCTTCCCTGTGGGCACAGAGGATCACCATGTGGGCTCGGGGCCAGGGCACATGCTTTGCCTGCCATACCCCAAAGCCCAGGCACCTGTGCACTGCTACGGATTTTCACAGGCTTGATCTTTAACCAGGATAAATGTCCCAATCTTCAGCTGGTGGATCTTCATGTTGATTGTTATAGGAGAGAGTTTATAGCTATTGTTTGATGTTCAAAGGGTTCAGTGGCCTCATAGGAGATAAGAACCCACTTATGTTTGGGTGTGTCAGTGTGTAGGTATGTGTGTGTATACTTCTGACTTGACATTTTTAATGTTCTTCTTTTCTCACGAGGAGCATAGTACTTATCAGGCACTGGCAGGATGACTAAAGGTAAAGATGGAATTTGTAGAAACTCCTAGACTAACACCTGGCTTGCATTAGGAATCCTACAGGTGTAGTTATTGCTATGTCTGGATCTAAGAACCAGTAAGTGTGTGTGTGTGTGTGTGTGTGTGTGTGTGTGTGTGTTTCTGGCACTCTGTGTTATTCAGCATGAGCTGTGTCCTGGGAGCAGAACTGCAGAAGGACCTACTGCCAGGTCACTATATATACACACTATACTATATGTCTGTCTCTGGTTTTCTTCTAGTTTCAACCTGAAATTCACCAGCTTCAAAAATTCTCCCCCAAAAATTATTCATGAAGTTGTCAATGGGAACAATGCCCATGAGCTGGTTTTCTATGGGTTCCCTCAGATGGATACTCAGAGGGGTTTGGAGAAACCCCTCTTATTTCCAGACCACAGGCTTAGAGAGGATGGAGGACAGAGACAGCCTGAAAAGTCAGGCAGGGACACAGAGCGCCTCCAGGTACTTCAGTCCTTCCTCATCTGCAATCTGAACGCCCTGGGAAGGCCCAGTGGAGGGCAGGATTCCAGGCATCCACCTCACCTTTCAAGTTGCTGCAAAGTTGTGCCTGCTTGGATGCATCTGGCAAGGGGTCTGTGTTCTTTTGGCATTTCCAGATGTCAGGAGATGGGACCTTGGAAGTACTCAGGGCGGATCTCTGGGCAGGTTCTACTGAAACTGGTTCGGTGACCCAGATTTTTCCAGAACAAGCTAAGGCCTGTTCTGGCACACCCTCCCCATTCCTAGAACTGTCTTTCTGTTTGGACACCTTCTGATATCTCCTTGATGCTCACATTCTTTGGCTCAGTGCCTCTTTCTGTTCAGGCAAAGTCTATTCTTGTCATTAAATACACATGACACGCACTGTTCTATGTTCATTTTTATATTTTCTTCTCTTTTCACTTTCTTCCATCTAAATTCCTTGCCTATTCTACCTCTCTCATCTATTTATACCTATGTCCCTATCATATTTTTCATCTCCCTCTAAATATACCTCTCTACTTCTGTCTCTTTTTTCTGTCTCTTATTGGGTCTCTCTCCTTCTTCTTCCTCTACTGCCCCGCCTTCTTCTCCTCCCACTGCTGCTACTCTTTCTCTCCTTTTTGTTTCTACTTCTCTCTCTCTCTCCTTTCTCTGTGGTCTCAGGTTCACTCTCTGTCTCTAACAGACTGTCTATCTCCCTGTCTCTGTCCCTCTCTCTGTCTAGTCCCCATCACTTCTCCGTTGCTTAGCTCTGTTTCAGTCCTTACTCCTCTAAGTCTCTGCCTCTCCCTAAACTTAGCCCGGGGCTACTGAATGGGGAACTGACCTTCACCCACCATCTCACGTGTTCCCTGCTCTCACTGAAGACAGAACGAGGACCCTGAAGACCACATTCTACAGAACTGGGGGCTGAGCCAGAGTCTGGGCCACTGAAGTCACTGATGAAACTCATAATTAGGAACTTGTTTCTGGGGCCTTCCTTCCTCCCCAAAGACGAGGAACCTAGATGTTGAGTTTTCCTTGGGTGGAGCTTTCAAGTTAAATAGTTTAATCTAAACCCCACTGAGTAAACTGCACCCTAATTTCATATTAACCAAAGGGCAACGGAACATGAGAGCACATTCCTGGAACAAGTAAGCAAGGTTCAGCCAATCCCAGCACTGCACTTCAGCCAATTGCAGGCTGCAAACTGCTCAGATCTGTCCAAGGCAGCCACAGGGAGCCAGACTAACCCACCTGTTTCTGCTATTTGGTTCCTTTTTCTGTTTACAACACTACCTGCCCATGCAGCTGGGTGGAACTCTCTAAATCTTCACCACTGCAGGATGTGGTCAATTCATGAAGTGTTACTTAGCTAAAATTAATTCTACAAAATTTGTCTAAAATTTTCTTTTACCAAGCCACAGTGGAGAGTGGGAATAGGGACAAGTGTGTACAAGACTTTCCCCAGCCCCAGTGCTCAGGCATCAAAGCAAACTCCTCTCCAGCCCCCGAGGCTCCACCCATCTGAGCTCTTCACCCTCAGCCCCTTTCCTAATCTACACCTAGCACTTCTTACAATTGCTCTCATGGGCCACCTGGCTCTGCCCTGCTGTTGCCTCCACCTGGAACCTTCTTTCTCAGTAGCTGATCAACACTCACCCACCAGGCCTCTGCCTGAAAACGAGTTTCTCAGGTGAGCTTTTCCTCACCTACCCACCAAAATTAGTATTTCCTATTTTGTGCTTCCAATACCTGATTAATGATATTACTTGACCCTGTTAGTGTATACTTTGTGTCTGGAAGTTCTTAGCTCAGGAGGGGCATTAAATCATTTAATTGGATGATTATTGGGGACTGGTTGATGAATGTCTATCTCAGCTGCTGAACTACAAGTTTCCTGGGGTAGGATCTGTGTCTTTATGTGGTTTGTTTGATGCATTATTTTTTGTCCCCTGGACCCAGTGCTGCATTAGTTTTTAGTTGTTGCTCCATTTTTTAAAGAAGGTGACTTTGTTCAGGTCTAGAGATTTCCCAACATTTGCCCAAGGTCCTGCTCATCAAGGCGAGCCTTGGGACATAATGTCACTTCTCAAGTCTCCTGGCAGGGTGGTAGTGAAGATGCAATGGGACAGTACAGGTAAAGCAACTGGAATATGCTGAGCCCTCACAAAACAAAGACCTATCATTGTGTGTCTCAAGGAGCAGATGGGACCTGCCCCTGGTGTCTGCAAAGGGATCCCAGGTCCAGCCTACCTGCCGAGAAGGGGATAAAAGCTTCGTTCTTCTTCAGTGCCCCGTTGGCATCCAGAAAGTGGTCAGGGTTGAAGGTGTCTGGTTCTTCAAAGTAATGCGGGTCATGGAGAGCAGAGCTCAGGATGGGGTACACTTCAGTGTTCTGAGGAAAGGTTAAAAGATCAAGAGACACTGCCATTTTATCAAGAATACAAGTAATAATAAATGCTGGCCAGGATGTGGGAGGAAAGTATGCTCATATATTGTGGTGGGACTGAAAACTACAACCATTTTGGAAAGCAATATGGAGATTCCTCAAAAGACTAGGAATGGAATCACCATGTGACCAAGTTATCCCACTCTTTGGTATTTATTCAACAGAACTAAAATCAGCATGCTATAGTGACACAGGTGCATCAATGCTTACAGCAGCATAATTCACACTAGCCATGTTATGGAACCAACCCAGATGCTCATCAATAGATGAATGGATAAATAAAATATCTTATATATACACAATAAAGTTTTATTTAGCATAAATAATAATGAAATTGTGTGATTTGCTGGTAAATGGATGCAACTGGAGAACATTCATGCTAAGTGAAATAAGCCAGAAACAGAAAGTTAAGGGTTGAATGTTTTCTCTCATATGCAGAAGCTAGAGCAGAGGAAGGAAAATAAGTGGGGGGGCATGTCCCATGAACACAGAGAGCAGATCAGTGGAGAGAGGAAGGAGATTGAAGGGAAGGGAGGAGGAACTGAAAAGGGAGGAACTGCAGAATCAGATTGACAAAATTATGCTATGCACGTACACAAATATACCACACTGAATTGCACCTTTATATATATATATATATATATATATATATATATATATATATATATATAAAGCACCAAAGTAAAAAAAAGAACAACAACAATAAATAAACATAAGGAAGACCAGTAGAGTATAGGAATTGAAACTGAGGAGGGAAGAGGAGAGGTTAAAAGGAAGCAAAGGGCAATGGAATCACCATGTGACCAAGTTATACCAAATTATACTCAATGTGTGAGTGATCATGTCATCATGAGCCCCACTGTTATGTATAACTATAATGCAGTAGTAAAAACATTTTCTAAATATTGCCATTCCCTAGCTCTCACACACAATTAACAAATTGATAGCACAAAACAAAAATGGAAACAAGGAGGCCCTATGAAGAAGCCTGTTGGGGTTTAAGTGTGCAGAGTTTAGCTCCCTCAGGCCTGACATTTTGCAAGAGCTGTGGCTGTGATTTAGGTCAGCTGAGGCAAACCTCAGCTAGGAGGAGGAAAAGTTCTCTTCCCCTTATCACAGGTCACAAGTTCTGCATGGTTTGGCCAAGAGGAAGAAGCTTCCTGCATACTTATCCTGGGAACAGTACATTCTGAAGAAACAAATGCATCCTCAGAGGAGTAGATAATGTCTACAAAGAACTTTAGGAGGGTACTTATCAAACAAACAGGAACAATTTGAATCTAGCTCTGTGTATCCGCTGAGGCATGATATTTGGACAATGTGGGTAAAGTGTTATTGAAGAATTGCTTGCTTTGTTAGAAGAAGTGTATAAAAGGAACTTGCAAATAAACTTCAGCATGCAGTTGCGATTGCTGCCTTGGCTCTGCATCCCCTGTGTCCCGGTTATTTCGTGACCCTTACCCAGGGACCCGAACGCTCTAGACGTTCACAGAAGCCCACAAGGGGTTGAGATTGTGGGCTAAAAGAACAGAGCACGCCCACACAGAGTCATGGAGCCCGCTGCTCTCACCTTGGGGATGATGAACCCTCGAAAATAAGTGTCCTTGGTGACTATGTGAGGCACACCAACGGGAACGAGGTCTGCGAATCTCTGAATCTCATGGATGACGGCCTCCGTGTAAGGCATCTTGGTGCGGTCATCAAGGGCTGGTGGGCGGTGTGAGCCAATCACCTGCTTAATCTCCTTTTGGACCCTTTCTGCACCAAAGAGGGGAAGCATGAGCCTCTTTTCACATAAGCATTTCACCAGCGACACTGTTTCAGTGGGTCAGTGAGCCAAGAAAATCCTAGGGCAAAAGCTTACATCATTGATATACTTCAGAGCAATCAGCTGGGGTGATGAGAGGAAGAATTAGAATTCTAACCCTTTCAAATTCAATGAATCTAATGAACTGTCTCCTATATGCACAGAAACCCTGCAGGCACACAGCATGCACACAAGCACACATGCACACCCACACCCCACATTCACCACAACTTCACAAGGAATTTTAGGTTAATAACTCCATATTAAGAACCTGTCAAAACCTCACCCTCAAAGATGAACAGAAAATGATCCAATAATTGTGTGCATGTGTGTTCATTACAGGTGAACACTGCACTCAATCCTCAGGAAAATCACAGTGGAATAGATCAATGGATTAATCTATGAGCAAGTGGATAAAGAAATGATTGCATAAATCAGTCAAACAGATCAATTCTTGAATGAAAAGATTGATAATTAACGAAATGAGCAAACAAATGAACGGATTGTGTATTCGGCTTATCAACTGATAGATGGATGGAATAAAGAATCAATTAAGAAACGATTATCAATTATCAATTCATTGGGTTCATTGCTTTATTTACCAATCACATAAATGTTGGATTTATGGGGCCATGTCCATGTGAATGGAGAAATTAGTGAATGTCTGATAAAACAAAGGAATAAATGAAGGGAATGATAAATGAGAGATGATAAATGAATCATCATTAAGTGGATAAGTGAGGGAATGGATGGATGGATGGGTGGCTGGATGTGGGATGAATAAGAAGATGGTTGATAAAAGGTTTAAGGAATGAAACCCAGTTAATAAAAAATGGGTGGGTGTCGTGTGAATGAATGAATGAGCCAAGTCATCAGTGACCAACAGTCCATTCAACTCTTCTTGTGAATAGCATCAACTCATGAATGAATTAATCCAAATAAATGAATGAAACTGTCCGTGAATGAATTATAAATGAACTGATCAGTGAATATACAAGTGGATTAATCAATAAAAGATGGACAGCTGGATGGGAAAAGCACTGGAAGAATAGATTGACAGATTTGTCATTGACCCAATCACCAACAGCATTGACTCAGCAGGAGACCTCCTGAGCCTGCCCAGCTCCTGAAACATCCCTCTCTGGTCCACTGTCTTTCTTTCCTGTGCATCCTTGGGCCTCACCCTTGGATTTCCTCAGCTCCTCCACCAGACACTGAGCCTCATCCATGGAGGACTGCAGCCCAGAAGGGGATCAGAGGACCCTCCCCACGCGCTCTCCCGGGCCCACCTGCCACGTGAGGGTACTTGAGCATGAGCAGGAAGCCATAGCGCAGAGTGGTGCTGGTGGTCTCGGTGCCCGCGAAGAAGAGGGACAGCAAGGTAAGGGCGAGGTTCTTGTGGTGGAACTCGCTCTGCAGGTTGGACTTCTCCTGGGCCCAGAGGTGTGGAGAGGGAGGGCAGGTCAGGGCCTGGAGCCCACTGGGGACTCGCCTGCCCCCCAGGCCCCTCCCTCTGTCTCTGGGTCTCCCCCGGGGTCCCTGGGTCTCAGCAGGGCCAACCCCGAGTCTCTCTCCTCCTCATGGCTCTGCCTGGCTTGGTGTCTCTCTCTCTCTCCGTCTCTTTGGCTTGTTTCTGGTTTTTGTCCCCAGTCCCTTCCTGCCTCTAAGGGTCTTTTCTCCTGTTTCTTTTGGTCCTTGTGTGTCCCCATCACCCAGCGCCCCTTCCCCTCTCCCTCTCATGTCCGTCCCCCTCCTCCTTTCCCTGGTCTTCCTCTCCCCCCCCAGCTCCTCCCCCTCCTCCGTCCTTCCCGCCCCTCCCCCCTGCCTACTCCTTCCTCCAACCTCCCTCTTTCCCCCACCTCCCCGCCCCAGGCCTCACTTTGTCCATGCGGAGCAGGTAGGCGTCGATGAAGTCTCTGGGGGCGCTGGGGTCCAGGGTTGCTCGGTGCTTCTCCACACTGTGGCCGATGAAGGTGAGGACCTCCTGCAGGTTCTCGTAGACTTGCCTGTGGGTGCCGGGAAAGTGCTTCAGGACGTCGGAGAAGAACTCAAACACCTGCAAGAAGGAAGGGGCACTGAGGAGTTCCAGGGGCCTAGCTAGCAAGTCACGTGGAGGGCAGCCATGCAGGGCCCAACGCCTCTGTGGGGAACCTCTGTCTTTCCCCTCCCCCCCTTCTCTTCTTCACCCTCTCCCTCCTCCACCCCTCATCAGAATCAATCTCTATCCCCGCTCTCTTTGTCTTCTCTTTTTTCCTCTATTCTTTCTCCCAAGCCCTCATTTGCTTTTTTCTTTTCCTTTTTGGTTTTTAAAAATATTTTTGGCACCTTGTAATTGTACATAACAGTGCAAATCACTATGCCATATTCATACATGCACATACTCTAATTTGATCAGTTTCAATCCCCAGTACCTTCCCTTTCTCTTCCCTTCCCTCCCCATCCACTCTGCCCATCCTTTTTCTGTTGGTTCTACTATTATCTTAATTAGTACATCATGATTTATATATACATGAATCCTTGTATGATATTTGTACACCGACATAACATTATTCAGCCCCCAGTACTTCCCCAATCCTCCCCTTCTCCATACCTCCCAATCTTGTTCCTCTACTCTTTTGGTACTGGGGATTGAACCCAGGGGCACTTAACCAGGGAGAGACAGGGTCTCACTGAATTGCTAAGTGACTCAGCCTGGATAAGTTGCTGAGGCTGGCTTTCAACTCACAATACTCCTGCCTTAGCCTCTTGAGATACTGAGATTATAGGTGTGCACCACCACACCCAGTTCTTTCTTCTGTTTCTTGAGAGACACCCTCATTTTTAATATCTATTCTCCCCTGCCCTTTGGCTTCTACATCCAAGAAAAAAATTCAATCCATAACTTTCTGAATCTGGCTTATGTTACTTAATTTCTCCCATCCATCCATTTACTTGCAAATGGCATAATTTTATTCTTATTTATAGCTGAGTAGAACTCCATTATGTATACCACATTTTCTTTATCTTAGTCTGTTGATTGGCACCTAGGCTAGATCCATAATATGACTATTGTGAATTGCACATCTATTAACATTAGTATTCATATATCACTATAGTATTCTGATTTTAGATCTTTTGGATACATACCAAGGAGTGGGATATCTAGTTCATGTGGTGGTTCTATTTCTAATCTTTTGAGGAATCTCTATACTGCTTTCCAAAGTGATTGTACTAATTTTCATTCCCACCAAAAATATATGAGTGTACCTATTTCCCCACATCCTCACCAGAAATTATTATTATTTGTATTCTTGATGATTGCCATTATGACTAGAGTGAAATGAAATCTCAGTGTAGTTTTCATTTGCATTTCCCTGATTGCTGTGGATGTTGAACATTCTTTCATGTATTTGTTGGCCATTTTTATTTCTTCTTTTGAAAAAAAATGTTTATTTAGATCTTTTGCCCATTAATCAATTTGGTTATTTTGATGATATTGTTTTTTAGTTTTTTATATATTCTGGGTATTTTCTTCTGTCAGAGGAGTACCTGGCAGGGATTTTCTCCCATTCTGTAGGCCTTCTCTTATGCTCTTTAATGTCCTTTGCTGTGCAGAAACTTTTTAATATGGTGGCATCCCACTTACTGATTTTTGGCTTCCTTTCTTGAGCTTTAGGGATCTTGTTAAGGAAGTTGGTGCCTGTGCCAATATGTTGGATTTCTGCCCCTATGTTTTCTTCTAGCAGTTGCAAAGTTACCTCTCTAATTCCTAGGTCTTTGATCCACTTTGAGTTGATTTTTGTGTGCTAAAGATAGGGATCCAGTTTCAATGTTCTACATATAGATACCCAGTTTTCTTAGCACCATCTGTTAAATTTCTCCAACATATATTTTTGTCACCTTTGTGAAGGATCAGGTGACTGTGTCTGTGTGGATTTGTCTCGTGCCTTTCATTCTGTTCCACTGGTCTTGGTGAGTGTTGGAAGGCCAAGACCATGCTGTTTCATTTCTGTCTCTGCAGTATGATTTGAGACCAGATATTGTGATGCCTCCACTGTGGCTCTTCTAACTCATTATTGCTTTGGCTATTCTGGGTCTTTTATTCTTCCAAATGAATTCTAGACCTGTTTTTCCTAGTTCTGCAGAGAATATCACCTGGTGTTCTGGTTTAGATGTGGTGTCCCCTAGAAGTTCACGTGTAAGACAATACAAGAAAGTTTGGAGGAGAAATTATTGGGTTATGGCCTTAACCTAATCAGTGAATTAATCCCTGGTGGGATTAACTGAATGGTCACGGGAGGCAGGTGGGGTGTGGCTGGAGGCAGGTGGGTGTGGCTGGAGGAAGTGGACAAGGTATCTGGGTATATATTTGTATCTGGAGAGTGGAGTCTCTTTCTCTGCTCTCTGATCGCCATGTGATCTCTTTCCCTCTGCCACACTCTCCTGCCTTGTGGCTCTTGTCTCATCTGGAGCCCTGAGCGATGGAGCCTGCTGTCTATGGATTGAGACCTCTGAAACCCTGAGCCCTTAAATAAACTTTTCCTCCTCTACAATTCTTCTGGTCAGATACTTTAGTGAGCAGCAAAAAAAAAAAAAAAAAAAACACTGATTAAAACACCTGGCCTTTTGATGGGGACTGCATTGAACCTGGAGAGAGCTTTGAGTAAATGATCACTTCGACCATATCAATTGAGCCTGTCCGGGAACAGCCACGCCCTAGTTTTCTTAGTCTTTCTGACCCTGTGTTTCTCCCTCCCTTCCCTCCCTTCCTTTCTTTCAACCTTCCTACTCCCTTCCCCCTCTTCCCCTCCAGGAGTCAACATCCCTTTCTCTCCATGTGGTCTCTGTCCTTCTTCGTCCCTACATGCATTTCTTTGCCCCCAGAACTGACCATCCTTTCCCACCTCCCTGAATGTCCCCCTCGTCCTCTTCTCCTCCTGCCACTGACCTGGCTGGAGAAGGAGCTGATTAGCGCGAATGACTGGTAGAACATGTCCAGCAGCCGCAGGAACTCTCGGTCTTTATAGTCGAAGCGTTCTCCAAAGACGATGGAGCAGATGATGTTGGCCGTGATGGACTGGAAGAGGAAGGTGGGGTCCAGGAGGGCCCCTAGGAGGAGAAGGCGGCAGGTCACAGGTCACAGACTCCAGAGCCTGGGGACAATCTGGCTGCTGCCCCATCTCTCTGTGACTGTCCACCGCTGCTCCAAAAGAAAAAGAATAATTGTAACAGCTTGCGCTGGCACAGACTGTCAGGCCCTACTCTTAGAACTCACATTTCTTTCAATCAGTTTTTACCAAAACTTTGTAAGGAAGATGCTCTTCTATTATTACCTCCCACTTTACAGTTGGTCAGACAGGTCGAGTAATGGAAGGTTGCACAGCTTCTCCTTCCTGAGGGCAGCATTCAGACCCAGAGACAGAGCCAGTGCTGTTGGCCACTCCCCTGCCTCTCTTCTGGACCCCACCTCTGACTGTGTGACCTCCTAGAGTCAAGTCTTTGGGGCAGGGCTGCAAAGCAGAGCTCCATCGATGCCTTGTGCAGATTCAGAAGCCCCGATGGCTGCACCCCTCACTCCCACACCCAGGTAGTATCTTCGCTCCATCCCGAGGACTCTCTGGTCTTGTTTGAATCATTCTTCATTTGCTCGCTGAAGCCTGTGCTTGGCAGGTGCAGTCCTGGTCCCTGAGGCTGGGAGGGAGGGGGCTGGGAGCCCAGGAACCTCAGGTGAGTGCAACCCCTGTCTCTGGATCTCACCTGCTTTTGCTCATTCCTCTGCAGACCTTTCTTTGAGGTTTGCCTGTCTGTCCCTCTAATTTTCTATCTCCAATTGTCTTCCTTTCTTTTTACCTCTCTCATTCTCTTCCTCCTCTCTCTCTCTCTCTCTCTCTCTCTCTCTCTCTCTCATTTTTCTCTTTCTTTTTTTCCATCACTGTCTCCGTCTCCTTCCCTGTCTCTGTCGCTCTGTTCCTCTGTCCTTCTTATCAGTCTCTCTGTCCCTGTCACTCCTTCCTGGCTCCACATAGATGTCTCAGAGTCTCCTGAGAAGTGTTGCTAAGAGTGAAGATGAAGGCCTGGTATAAATGAGGTGGACGTGCTGATAAAGGGCCTGCCACCTACATGCCACATTAGGAAGAATCTAAAATCACCAGAAGTGTCCTGGGGCTGCCCCAGAGCAGAACACAGCCCCTGCCTCTTTGCTTGCTGGCACATCACCCAAGGAAAGAAAAACACAGTTCATTATTTTCCATGTCTGCCAATCTGTTGCTTCTCTTTGCTTTCTTTTACATGTCCTATTTTTGACTTTGACACACACGATCAATCCATAAATTGATTTCCCTGAACACAATTGAATGGCAAGCTAATCACTCAGTCTGTCTTGGAAGCTAAAAACTTCACATCTCTTTCCCTAACTTTCTTGGTTTCTCACTTGCCATCTCCATCTCCATTCCCATCTCTCTGTTTCTTTATCTCTGTCTCTGCCCTTCTTTCTCTGCCCACATGTACCTCTCTGTCTTTCTGTTGCTGTGCACCCCACATCCCTCTCTGTTCCACTGTCTTTCTTTCCTGTGCATCCCTGGGCCTCACCCTTGGATTTCCTCAGCTCCTCCACCAGACACTGAGCCTCCTCCTGAATCCGTTCCTCAATGCTCCGCTTTCCCATCCCAAAGTCCCTCATGGTGGCCAGAGAGAATCTCCGAAGGGTTTTCCAACGTTCTCCATTGGCAAAGGTCACACCTGGGGGTGTAGGAGAGGCATGGGTTGCAGAGGAAGTTGGAAGGAGTCTGGCTCTGTCCCCACCCCTTGTCCTCCCTTCTCAGACTCCCCTTTCCCAGGTCCCATCTTCCATCCCACCCCATCCCAGGGACTTCTAGGTCCTCACCGTATCCCTGGAAGATTGGCTCAATGATGGCCAGTGTTCCCCGACCAGAGAAATCCTCAGCTTGGTCCACCAGGGCCTCCCGTATGGCCTCTGTCCCACACAGCATGACCACGGGCTTTGGTCCCAGGTACACCGTGAACACATCCCCATATTTCTCTCGAAGCTGCCAAGCACATCCACACCAGGGTTGATGTTAGTCCGTGCACACCTCCGTTGTTAACCATGAAATGCTAAGATGCAGATTGGTCCAGAGGTGTCTCCCACAAGACCCTCCTCCCTCAGCCGCCAGCTCCCTTCTCAGGACCCAGCCACTAAGGGGTCAATGCACAGTCCGGGCAAGCCACTCTGATTGGTTGGGCCCTAAGAATCCACATGCTTCAGTATTTTAATGCCATCCTGCCTGTGCCCTTGAGTCTGGCCACATCTCCTGCGCCTCTCAAAGAATCTCCTGTGACCCAACTGCTTTCTGCCTCTTGACCATTTCCTGAGAGGACGACTCTGACCCACCCACTTGGCAGATGTGAAGGGACAGTGATGGCCTTCTAGCCTTGCTCATGAAATGGTAAAAGCCATCGTATCAGCCACTTGGGAGACGGCTGGGCAGTACAGTCACTCCTTGGCATCCACATGAACTGGCCCACGACATCCCTGGAATACCAAAACCCCTCGAATGCTAAAATTAAGTACTTAAAATGGTGTAGTATTTACATATAATAAGTGTTCATCCTCCAATATACTTTAAATCATCTCTAGATTACTGATAAACCTGGAGGAATATATTGCGTCTGTCCCAGCCCTGACTCAGGCCAGGCTCTGCTCCCTCTTGTTGGCAGAAATAATATGCCCTGGACTGGTGCCACCCTGTTCCTCTCTTCCAGGGATAGGCAGGCACCCAAGGTCACAGCCGAGGGTGACGGAGGACAGCAAAGGTCTGCACCGCAGCTCACATCCACACACCTCTGCACGGCCACCCGCCCCCTCAAGGACAGCGCCCCTCACACAGCTCCAGCTGAGCAGGGATGCCTCTGGCCATCTGACCACTCTCCATCAAGATTCAGGCTCAGGCCCTTCACACACCAGCCGTCCACCCAACCCCTGAGCTGGAAGGAGGCCTTGCTCTTCCTGCTGAGGGATCCCCAAGTACAGAGGCAGCAACCAGCCTGCCTCAGGGCCCCGTCCATCTGTCTCACCCTCAGGAAGGAATTGAGCAAGCCTCCTCTCTGTAGCTGCAGAAGGTTCCCCAAGAAAGGCAGAGGACGGGGGCCTGGTGGGAGGCGGCCTCGGGCCTTTGGGCGACCCCTGACCAGCAGAAGGAAGAGGCCTGTGAGCAGAGCAAGGAACAGGAGGACACTGAGCTCCATGGTCCTGGTCTGACCGCCGTCCACCAGCTGCAGCCTCAGCTGGACCTTTTATCCTGAGCCTCCTCCCCACCCAGTTATGCAACCCCATCTGCTCCCCGCCTCCCTCCCATCACTGTCCAACTGTCCATAGTGTGAAGGTAGCAGAGAGGTGCTGAGTGCTCACATTTCCTGCTTGCTTGATCCCGCAACCCGCCCCCTCCCTAGATGTTGGCAGGGAATCTGGGAAAGTGATAACACAATGCATGGGGTGGGGGCTTGCTGGTGTGTGCCTGTGTGTGTGTGTTGCATCTTTTCTTCTGTAGTTGTGTGTGGTTGAGCGTGTAGCTGTCCACAAGATTTGTCTGCTGGTTTATACTGGCCTGCACTTGTCCATGCCTACTTGCCACCGTGTGAGTGTTGGTGTGCTTTTGATATGCCAAGGGATGTTTCCTACACGTGAAGGGACATTTTCTTCGTGAGGGTGCTGGTGTGCATTTCTGTGCTGTGACAACCTGCACATCATCAGCTCATCAGTAGCCTGAGCTTACATCACAATTTCTATGTCCTTCACCTCGCCTCCTCTCATCCCCTGGCCGCAGCACCATCTCACATCACAAGAAGGGGGAGCACAGTACAATGGGATATTTTGAGAGAAAGGCCATACTCATAACTTTCATTACAGTCTATTATTGTGATCATGTTATGTTTTTCTATATGCTACTTTTGTTCATCTCCTACTGAGCCTAACTTGCCAATTAAACTTCCATACAGATATTTGTAAAGCAAAGTGTCTACAGGGTTCAGCAGTATCCAAAGTTTCAGGTATCCCCGAGTTTGCTATGGAAGCGTTCTATATGCTGCTCCGTAGAGATCCAAAAGCTGCGATCTCTTAAGACTGTCAAGGTGGCAACAAATATCATCACGAACTTTGGCGGGAACATTCAAACCATAAGATGGCTCTGGGTTTCTCTGGCCACTCTGCTCCAGTCTGTCTCTCCTTTGCTGTGAGCCTTCACCCATGTGGCTTCTGGTGTGGTCAGTCCATATTTGTCAAATATGAGAATAAAGGTTTCCATCCCCTGCACCACGTGTTGGCCTGGGCCCACTCTCTACCTCTCTGTTTTAAGGGGTCCTCCCAGGACGGAGACGTAGCTCAGTAGTGCACCACTTGCCTAGCACGTGTGAGGTCCTGGGTGGGATCCCTGAGTCTGAAATCATAAAATAAAATAAACGTACCTCCTTCTCTTTAAGGGGGAGTGAGGGAAGAGTGAGAGGGGATGAAGCAGCATTGTTCTTTTTAAAAATTGTTATTTATTGGTTCATATTAATTATACACAATGGTGGACTTCGTTGTGACTCATTCCTACGTGCATGTAAAGTAACATGGTTGATATTCCTCCCAAGTACGTCCTCTTCCCTGCTCCTCCTCCCTCCCAGTCCCCTTCCTGTATCCTAATGTTTCCCTTCAGTCTTCACCCCTCTCTCCCTCTCTAGTTTCCACATATGTGAGAAAACACAACCCATTTCCTTCTGAGGCTCACTTATATCACTTAACATTGTGCTCTCAAGTTCCACCCATTTTCCTGCAAATGATAGAATTTAGTTCAAGTAAAACTTGACATTGTAATAGACCACATTTTCTTTATCCATTCATCTGTTGACCAACATCCAGGCTGGTTCCGTAACATAGCTATTGTGAATTGTGCTGTAATAAACCTGGGTACGCATATGTCACTCTAATATGCTGACTTTGATTCTTTTGGATAAAATACTGAGGAGTGGAAGAACTGGGTCGTATGGTGGTTCCATTCCTAGTCTTCAAAGCAACTTCAACATTGATTTCCATGGTGCTTGTACTAATGGACAGTCCTACCATCACTTATGAGAGAGTCTTTTCCCCTGTTCTCTTGCCATCATTTATTCTTATTTGTATTCTTGATGACTGCTATTCAACGGGAGTGAGATGAAATCTCCCTGTAGTTTTGATTTGCATTTCTCGGAAAGCTAAAGACTTGAACATTTTTTTCATACAATTGTTGGCCATTTGTGTGTCTTCATTTGAGAATGGTCTGTTCAGTTCATTCACTCATTTATTGAATGGGTTATTTCTGGGGATTTGTTTTTGTTTTGTTTTTGTTGTTTTTTTGTTTTGGGGTTGTTTTTGTTTTTGTTTTTTTGGTTTGACAGGGCAAGGGGTGGTCTTTGGAAATTTAACCCAGAGGCACTTTACAACTGAGCTACAGCCCCAGCCATTTTTTGTTTTGTTTTGTTTTGTTTTGTTTTTGAGACAGGTTCTTGCGAAGTTGCTCATGGCTTTGCAAAATTGCTGACACTGGCCTTGAACTTGCGTCCTCCTGCCTCAGCCTACCAAGCTGCTGGGATTACAGGCATGGGCCACCATGCCTGGCTGGCTTTGTAAAAAAAAATTTAATGTTGAGGGGTTGTTTTAGTTCTTTGTATAATCTGAATATTAATCCTCTACCAGAAGAGTAGCTGGCAAAGATCTCCTCACATTCTGCAGGATCTCCCTTCTCCTCATTGCTTCCACTGCTTTCCAGAAGCTCTTCGCTGTGATGAGGCAACAAAGTTAAGCAGACCTTTTGCCAGACCCAGGACCCTGACCCTGACATCTGAGTCACAATCCATTGACCAATGATTGATGAGAGGACAGAAAAACATAATGTGTTTTTCAGGGGTGGAAATTTGCTTTTCTGATATTGGAGAGGTGCTACCATAGACGTTTCTGACCTTAGAACCTTGCTCCCCTGTGCTGGGTCATCTGGCACCAAGCCTGGGTTACCATGCCAGCCCAGGACTTCCTGGTGAAGGGCGCATGAAGTGCTTTTTGCTTTTACAGAGAAATTCATTGAATCTTTTTGCTTTGAGGGAGATATTGTTGTCATCCCCATTTCATAGAAAAGCTTGAAAAAGAAGTTGAGAGTCTCCCCCAAGATCGCCCGGTTGGTTGGAGCTACATCATCCAATGTGGTACCAGCTTGCCACACAAGGCCTCAAACATCTTCAAGTTTACATGCTCCATAACATTTAAATTTGATTTTAACTTTAAAACTTGATACTCAGTTCAGCTATTGGGGAACTGTTAGCTCTTTTTGGAATATTTTATAAATGTTAAGTGGGATGCACTGTCAAGGCCACTAACTGAGAATGTTATGGGTTCCTATCCTTTGAGGCCATCCCTCAGGGATCACTGACCTTATTGCCTGGCGCCTCGTGACTTGAAAACGGTTTTTTGAACAAGTTCTCTGTTGTGTAGTTATTTCTTTGGGAAGGTTGGTCTGACCACTGTGTCTTCACCTTGGCTCCAAGATGCCCTGTTTGTATTTGTGTGGTGTTGTGTTGTGTGCTTCTGTGTGTGTCTGCTTGTGCTGGTCCTGTTTATATGTGTGTGTGTGCGTGTGTATGTGTGTGTGTGTGTGTCCTAGTCTCTGCCTTTGTGGTGGTCTGCAAGTGCTCAGTGTCTTTCTCCTTCACTTCTCCTCCTCTGGGATAACCATAGGCACAGAGATGATGAGAGAAACAGAGAGAGGATGGGAAAGCCATAATGGGTGAGACCCAGGCAGGGATGTGACCTAGGACATCAGGACATAACCGCAGAGAGCTCTGGACCCCTGTGTCTCTCTGAGCTGGACACTTGTCTCCCTGTTTCTGAGTACTTTCATCTTCCTCTGGTGGGCCTCCCTGCCCCTCCCACATCCCTCTCACTCTGTATCTGTTCTTTTCTAATCTCTGAGCTCTAGGAGCACAGTGTTGGGTCCAGTGTGATTGATGTCTGATGTGCTTGGCTCTGTCTACATCAGCATTGTGCACCTGTACTCTCCCCGTCCCCAGCAGAAGGTCAGGCCCTAATTGCCCAACATGAGCATTAGTGTGTACACATCTGCCCATCTCTTTCTTTCTTGTTCCTTTCTTACATCTTGCTTGCCAATGCAAAACCAACCAGGAGCCTGGCAGAGGAGATGGGGTGGCACCAGGGTGGGGTGAAGCCAGTGCTCTATGTGAGTCTGAAAGTCCAAGCTGCTGGGTCCAGCCTCAACCCAGCCTCCTCTGACCCGGGAAGAAGGAAGCAACAGGGTGCACTCTGTTCATCCCTGACCTTGGAGAGGTGTCACTGTGGACTTTCCTGACCTCAGGATCTTGCTTCTGCTGTACCAGGCCACGTGGCACTAGGTTGCAAAATGGTCCTCATTCCAGACCCAGGAAACACTCACTGGGAGGCAAAAAAAGTGCTTTCCACTGAGTTCTCACCCTTGAAGGGAGGTACCATCATTCTCCCCATTTTACCGACGGAGGGAGTAGAGCACAGGCAGATCAAGAATCTCACCCGAGGTCGCGCAGAAGTTTGAGCTACATTGTTCAACAGGGCAGCCACTTGCCACACTTGGCCTTTAAACTTGAAATGTGGTGTGGCCAAACCAATTCACGCTTCATTTAACTTAATCCCAAAAGTCAGCATGCAGTTCAGCTATTGTGAAACTTCCAAGTATGCTGGTACAACTGAGATACGCCAATCAGTTCTTCCAATGGTAAAATTCATGAAAGCTAAAAAAATATCAAGGATTTCTAAAGAAAATTTAGGGTCCTGATTAAGGACACCAGATTTCAAAGATACAGTTTAAAAATGAGAGAAAGAGAAAGATAATGGATGGCAGAGACAAAAAGAGGAAGAAACTCAGAGATAAAGAGGACAAGAAAGATAGACCGGGAGATAAGACAGAGATACAGCTAGAGAACAAGAAGGATCAAGACTCACAGAGAGAGAGAGGAGAAGAGCAAGAGGGGGGCAGAGACTGAGAGACCCAGGAACAGAGGGGCACAGTCCTATTGCACTGCTAAAGCCTTTAAAAACTGTCAGGTGGGGCAGGCACCTGTGAAGGCACTTGTTTTCATATCCAAAAGGACGCTTGTATTATATTCAAAAATTTTAACAGATTTCCTGTACAATCAATGACATGCAATTCACTGTGTGCATCAAACTGTACAATTAGGCAAGATTTGAGCTATTATACATCCACACCCACCTCCTCTAAGCATCTGGGTCCCC